GTGTGGGTGTGGGTGTGTGGGTGTGGGTGTGGGTGTGGGTGTGGGTGTGGGTGGGTGTGGGTGTGGGTGTGGGTGTGGGTGTGGGTGCGTAGGTGTGGGTGTGGGTATGGGTAAGGAGAATACCCACACCCACACTTACACCCACACTTACACTCACATCCATACCCACACCCACCCCCACGCACACCCCACACCCACACCTTCAGTAGAAAATATTCAACTAATACTTGATAATGTCATTTTTATCAGATTTATCAAACATATTGGTATGTTCGTCTTTAGTAAAATCATCATCAACCTGCTTGATACAAAGGTATTGATCTTTCGAGAAGTTTAGGAATTGCTGTAATTCTGCGCCGTTAATGCAATTGCAAGACCTAGTGAATAAAAAAAAAGGCTCGAGTGTTCAAAAAAGTTGAAAAAGTCTTGATTCAATTGTTGTTAACCCAATAATTCATTTTGTTTTCAACCGCTGTAAAATCTTCTTTGCTTCACGTTGACCCGTAGCAAAAGCCGTATGTACTGAACCACCCGAACGAGTATGTTCACCAGCCCAAAACAATTGATTATGACAACATTCTCTTGCCAAAGTTTCGAATGTTTCTGATGATGTATTAAATGCATAATAGGAATAAGAACCACGTGCATACGGGTCTTGTGTCCATCGTGATATTCGATACTGTTCCAGTTGGAAGGCATGATTAGGAAATGCTCTTATTAGATCATGGAGAATCGTAGCAACGGTATCGTCGTCTTTGGATGCTTCCATACGACGAGCTCGTGTTCCACCAATCATAAACGCAAGGATACGCTTCTTCGGAGCGCAAACAGCAAATGGAAAAGATGCTCCAGCTATGTAGAATGAAGTAAAACTTGGATCCCAGAATACCTTATTAAATTGTAGAATAACCTTGTCCGTATCGCCAAACCCCATACTATCTATTGCATTCTGTTTCCATTGAGGCAAAATCGGTTCAAATACAATCGTTTGCTGTTTTAAGCAACCCAATGGAACAGTAATCAAGATGTACTTCGCTTGAATAGTTTCGCCATTTTTTGTTGAGATTTGAACAAGACTTGAGTTACTGGTGACGATATGAGTTACTTCGGTATTTAATTGTACAGGTAATGTAAATCTGTCGACAATTCGTTGAATCAAAGATCCGAATCCTCTTTTCAATGCCATATCTTCACCTTGTGCTTCTTCGTCATCACCAGGTGAATCACCGAAGAAAGTTTGTCTGGCAGAGAGTCGATCAAGATCAGCAGCTTCATACTGTTCTTTTCCGATTAACATGGCTTCAACAAGCCGTTTAATTTGTCCTTCTGATATTTTCTCGTATTCAGGCCGGATCATGTCCCGAACGGATACGTCTCGAATTCTTAAAGTTGCGTTATATTTTGGCGAAAATAACTTATCCATGGTATATTGCGCTCTTACACACGTTTGATGTGATACAATGGAACCAGCCGTATCGTAGCATCCAGTTACTTCTGGTTCGAAGAAAACAAAATAGCCATCACCTTCTCTATCTTCGTTTGTTTGCAGTTGCCGATGTAGACTATATAAGGGATTTTCCGGCCCATAAGCATGAATCCATTCGGCGCCAATATCAGCAGCCACACCATTGCCAAATGTTTGCGTATCGGTATAGACTCGTCCTCCCACACGATGTCGTGCTTCCAGTATCGTCATTGTGATTGACGCTGGAGCCTTTTTAAGGTCGATTGCTGCAGCAATGCCAGCTGGACCTGCTCCGACAATGACAACATCCAAGATTTGATTACTACTAGAAATTAAGATAGTTGATAAAACTCCTATGAAAAGAAAGAAAGCAGTCACAGGCGTCATACAGCAGTGCATCGATCGACGTATCGATGCTTTTTATTAACTGACATTGACGTAAGGATGACAGGCCAACTTTCATTCTTCACTCACTAATTCATCAATCTATTATTTGCATAGGTGTATTATAAAACGAAAAACAATTTGATGTTGTTTTTGAAACGAACGAAATCCCACTTAAGCCTATGTTGTGCTATTTATTCTGCAATATGCTTATTATTCGACTGATGCTTTTCATTCATAATTAGTGTGCTGTGTGATACCAGCCGAAAAGTTTCTCATCTTCATGTCGTTGTTTCGGATTGTTCAGATACGCTTAATGAGGATCAGATCATCCATTCACCAATTCGTAATAAAGATAGGAATTGCACAGGAAAATCGTTAACTGAATTTTTGGTCATGAATTCATATTGTCGAACATCACATGGAACTACACTGTAGCATAGCCTCTGTTGAAAGGTTAATATAGTAACACGCTATGTTTCTGCCATCTGAAGTTACTGGCAATTGCAAGTCTCAACGATAGGAAGATGACGCACTAGTTCAATACCCACGCAGATGAAAACTTTTTGTGTCTTATATCGATGTGTTTTGTCTAGCAACAAGATAAATGCAATTTCACGGCACGGCAGACTCGATAATAATGCTGGACGAAAGAGTCCTTCATCCACACTCTTATCCACCCACAGCCGCTTGTGGGTGTGGGGTGGAGTGTGTGGGTGTGGATGGGTGCGGGTGTAGGGTGAGGTGGGTATGTGAGTGTTGGCGTCACTGTCGATACGAGCTATAGGGACATCCATACAGCCAGAGCTACACCCACACACCCACACACCCACCCCACCTACCCATCCACACCCACACCCCACATCCACACCCATAGTCAAACCTATCGATATTACGATAAATGAAGAACTCATCATAGCCAATCGAAGAAAAGATTGATCAACATTTAAAAATACTCCATTCGATATAACTTTTTACGTGCTTTTCAACCCTATAGGTTTTAGATTGCGAATTTTTAAGATATTTTAAGATGATTATTTTTCAAATTAGATTAATCTATTGTGTCAGTCACATTCTGCTCTTTCAGATGATAGCTTTAGAAATGAATTGTTGGTCTTCTTTTTGAAAGAAAAGCATCATAGATGTGATCATTTTTATCAATCTATAGAGTCATAAACATCTCTGATACTTTGACCGTCCTTATTATAAGGTTGGTGCACTAAACTTCAGTCAGTACAAAAAGATAATTGAAGCATTTTAAGTTCTGCACTAATGATGTTTTTTGATTCATCTTAATTTTATCTACTCTATTATGCACCTGACATACAATGTAGACTTTAAAAAAACTCCGGAATTAAAAGAGATAATTTCTTTTCTTTATTATAGCAATTGTCTTCTAAGTCACTCACTGAAAAAAATTAGAAGCGATGATACCACTATATCGTGATGATGACATCAATGTCAACCGAATATGTTAGGAAACACTATATCTGATTCGGCTGAGTCGGATCGAATTATTCGCTTATGAGATTCGTTTTCAGCTTCAGATCTCTAAATCTTCGTGACTCATTTAGTTGGGTGACAACGTCGTGCTGCTTTTTCTTTGCAACATTCTTCCGAATCTGAATTTGACTACTTTTCACTTGCTACAAAAAATTGTTCAAAACAGAGAAGTAGTTCATTAAAATTATATTTTATTGACTTTCATTTTCAATCAATTCAATTTACACTTTATTAAATCTAAATTTCACTCGATTTTACTTTTGAGCAAATTAACACATATTTATTAACTCTTACAAGAGTCGCTTAAGAAAATGGGGTTTTGAAAGCCCTGATTCCGTTTGTTATAATTAAAATACAATCGGAGCTGAAAACACTGAGAAACCAGCAGAGGTTATGCTCGACACCTTATCGCAGTTAACTCTACATGGGAGGTAGTAGCTCTCTTACACGTTTACTTTGATATTCCCTGCTTTCGAGATGAAAGAATCCACTCACACATATGTAGTGTTATCCAAAACCAGTTAAAATTATGCAACATGTATCGAATGCCCTTTTCACTTTTATTGTGAGCGCAACAATATTTGATGAATCTATGATCGTCTAAGATTATTTTTATTTCCCAATCTATCAAACAGTTGTTCATTATATTTATTTTATAATTCTTTTAGACTAACTCTGCTGCTACTTCTTCGTTAATATAGTTGTTTTCGCAAATTTCATAGCGCTTATCCGAACTAATAATGTCAAATACGACAGAATCAGTTGATGAAAAACCTAGAAATGATTTTAAAGCTAGTCATGCACCAGCAATGAAAGTTGGTAAGACACAAATCGAACTGCTTTTCTGAATCAAAACAGACGCTTTCATTCATTCGTTTATCTTTAGGTGGAATGCGCGTTTCAGATCCTCGTCGAACGTCTCACTGCGATGATAAGAAAACAGAATCATCAACTGAAGGTCATAGTGATGCACCCAACTCCACAGACAGCTCTATTGCTGGAACTGCTGAAGATGGACAAGAAACGACAGATCGAACTGCAGCTGGTAGTGACGAAGGAACATCAGGGTATGTAGAACGGCAGTTTAGACGTTTGCCTCGTATTCGTAGGGTCCATTTGCTGTTAGCACTGTTTCAAGACATCAGACAGCTGGGCAAATGGTTGCCGAACAATTTGTACGAGTACGTGTTGTTTTCTTGTCATGATGAAAAGCTATTGCGGCATTATTATGTCTGTTTAGATTCAGGATGCATTTCCAACTGAGGCTGTGAGACATACACATGAAAAACATTTTGATAATGTGTCCAAACACGAGCCTCATACGCGTACAAATCATCATGAAGCTAAATTTATTATTCAACCTAGAAAGATGTGACACATTATTATGATTATATGAGACCACCACCTTTTCTAGGTTCAGATTTACGTTTCTCTTGTGCAATTATGCTATTCTTGCTAAAATAAAGTCAGGCGTTGTTGTTCTTGTTTTCAAAGATAAATATAATAAAAACTTAACAAAATATTCTGCTATTTCACGAGGAAATGAGGTGCATGTGCATATTGATGGTAAAAGAGAAAACCCACAATCTACGCCCCACTCTAGGTCTCTTCCTAAGATGATATTTTGTTGACAATAGTTCTTTGAACAGCAATTGTCTCGTGTTCTCTGTTCAAAACAGGAAAAAAATTGTTTGATCATTTTTGAATCATGAACTTAGAAATGAAGTGCAGTACAAAGATAGTTGCACAAATTGAGATTGTGATATATTTAATGTGCAATTTATTGCAAAAATTATTTGCTTTGAATTTAATACACCAATACATTTACATTTTACAGTTTCCATAACAACAACTAAGGCAAATTCTATATTGTTTATGGATAAAATGTACCAATATCTCTTTTACAGACTGATTTCCAACAGAATCCTGGTAAAAATACATAGTGAGCGGTTAATTGTGTTACATAAATGAACTCGACACTTTTCAAAGGTTAACTGGCGTCCGATTCTACTTAACAAAGTTCTACCTGCACTGCAAGCAGGCCCACTTAGGTTATACGACGTTAACCTGAATTTCACATCCGCAGTCTTGAAAAGTAGTCTCAGTGAATATAAAATGATTAAAAGACTAATTCATATGCATTTTAATGACCATCATCATCATACCATTGTTCACTTGAAAAGATTTTTCGGCTATTGCAATACCATCATATGAGATAATGGAAAAGAAGAATCGGAAAAATCAGCATAGATAAGATATAAATTAGGATTATTTTTTAGTTCTTCAGTTAAATTAGATATTAGTTTTTCTAACTCATTAATATTATTTTCGTTTAAACAATCGTTTGAGCACAGAATTCGATAATATTGATTATCATTAACCAGTTTATGTGCAATAGTTTTCTCATTATCTGTTCTATCGATTTTGTAAACATCAGCGTTCAAATATTGAAACCTTCGCCTGTGTAAATTCCTAATGAAATATTCTTTTTTCTCCAAACATTTTAGATTTTGAGTTAAATTAGGAATACTGGTTTGCATCATCATTTGTTCATTATTGTAAAGTCTATTATGGGTCGTGAAGTTGTTAGTTCTACTACTTCGATTTTCAACAACTAGTTTTGAAAGTCGTTCTATTTCATTTGTAAATTTCTTTTTCACATCCAGCCATTGTGTTTCAATGTTATTAAATTGTCGTTTCAAATGCTCACATAAGAAGTTTGGCATGTCCCGTGTCATAGAATTTTCTAATGTTCTCATACTAACTGTTATTTGAAATACATAATTTTCGATAGCTTCATTGAACTCTTCAGGTAGAATATTGAACTGTGCATTTTCTCCATGATATTCAGGAAAGAACTCTTTCATGGAGCGAAGAGTGTAAGATATTGGATAATTGGCAAGATAACATTGGTTTTGTTGTATCAAACAACAAACATCCCAGATCTTAGTAAGATTTCTGAAATGGGATATATTTGAATAGACTTTTGTGTGTACTATTTTTTCTAAGATATTTTTTTCATATGTGGTTAATAGGTAAGCGCTCTGATGATTTTGTAAACGGTTACAAAGTGTTGTAAGTACTTTATCAATCGCTGCAACTGCGTTCGGAACATTTGGCAATTGTAAAATGACAGTGAAACTAACTCCAAAATATACTTTTGTAATAATATGAGTGGCAGCAGTGGAAAATGGTGGTAATCTATTGACAACTTTAATATTTGCAGGATTGTCAGGAAGTTTTTCTTCTCGTTTTACAGAAGAATATTGAATGAAACGGGTATATTCATTGATGGGTTGACAATAATCAATCATTGTGTCTGTTCCAGATTTTTTTGACATATTCAATAATAAGCTTAATCTTAATTCTTCTTCAATACGCATTATTTTCAAAATATTTGGATTGCGATCATGTTGACCATGTATTACTTCGCATTGTCTCGGTTCACTTATGTTAAATGTTTCTTCTATTTTATGAAATTCTAATCTCTGCAGAATACAATCTCGATATCCATCATACAGTGAACCGACTCGTCCAGTGGAATCAATTGCTGCACGATGTGTTTCACTAGGAAATATATCCTTGGATGTTTTCTCTGTCTCTAAAGATGACATCAACATCAAAGATCAATGGAAAGAGTTTAAATTATCTGCAAAAAAAAGTCATTAAATTTGTGAAAAAAAAAATTCAAATATTATGAAGGGGCTATTGGGACTTATTTTTTGAGGTTTGTGAATTTTTTTTAAAGTTCCAGGATACTTGTTACCTATATTGCATTTTATGAAAGGATGATTCTTTAATAAGATTAATCTAAATTCACAAAGGTTGCCATATAAACTCTTTAACATCACATAAGTTTTTGGCGAATCGTGATACCAGCAGATCTTTCTAAATACTTGTATCTCTCTTAGCATTCCTCTGCATCTACCGCCCTACTAAGCAGTTAGAACGATGGCTACTGTTCGTGCATAAAAGTTTGAATCCTTATTCGGCCCACTCATTTTGTTACTTTGAACTTTCTTCTGGTTATCAGGCAATAAAAACTTCGTATTACTATCCCTTTTAAACACCTTGTCACATATTACTGAGTAAGAGTATTCTACCAAACCTATTTCAAATATGTTATTCGTTCATCAGGTTTATTATTCAATCTTTCACAGTACCAATCATACCTTGAAAGCTGCTGATGTAGATTTACTCATTCATTTCACATAAACTTAATCAATACTTTTTTTTACACTCTTTCAATATACAAATAAAAATACATATGTACATCGAGAATTTCATTTTTATGAGTAGTAGAAATAAGCACATGTTCTTAAAATCGTGTATTTTCAATAAACTTTCAATAAATTCTAAACATGCAGTGATCATTTTTTCTGTTCTTTATATCATACCTTAGCAGCGTTGAATTTTGTGTTTCTTTTTGCTCGATGATTTTGAAAAGTAAGTCTGTTTTTTTTCTTCTATTCCTTTTTATACTTTACTTTATGTAACATTTCTTTTAACTTGCTTTTCAAAAGTAAAGAACGAAAAAGAAAAAGAGAAACAAAATCGTTTTGTTAAAACAATCGCGCAAAAAATATTGAATACTGACGTGAAAAAAAAATATCTTTCTTTACTCAACGAAACATATAACTTCTTCAATGTTATACGATCTAGAAATTTCAAGCTTCGATAGATTTCACTGTTGAAAGTGAAAAAAAACAAAAAAATATTGTAACTAGTAAAATGATCGATTGCATAGGTATTTTTCAAAATGAAGGAATTACTTTCATCATTAATAAATTTTGCATTGATACAATCCCATCTTTTTACTATGGTATTTATTAATAGATGTAACCTAATTAAAAACAAAATATAAAATCCTTTTTTATTATTAAATCTTGTATTAATTACAATCTTGATATTGATATTAAGAAATAATAATTTGTAATTGTGTGAAATATTCTGACTAGATAAGTTGAAATAATTCTCTCCTAATGTTACTAAATTCAAACTATTTACTTTTTAATAATCTTATAGATGGCAAAAGATGTAGTTTTGAGTTTCACCTGAATTGCAGATCGAAAATTTGGTGACAGTCGAATTTGGTGCTGTTTGACAATTCGAAACTTATTTTAGCGCAGAAACGTTTAACATTTTTACATGTTCATCTGTATATTATACGTGAAATAAAAAATATTGAGATGGCTAGAAAGCCCAATATTTATGTTATCGTACTTCTTAGTGGCATCTTCTGTTCATGATTCGGTAATTTAAACACAAAATTTCAGCACGAAGAATAAGAACATTGTAAAAAAAACGTTTAGTAGGGCGTCGGTGGGTGAGGGTGTTTTTTTCATTTTTTTCCAGGTACATAGTAGGGATAGTCACCAGTTTAGCAAGAGCTTCTAGAAAACGAAGCACACTATCGAGAAACGGTTTTCACTACTCGATAAAGCTCATCAAGTTATAGTTGAAAGAAGTTCAAGTGGTATTAGTACAAGCCTCTGGGCGAATTGGCTGTAAAGAAGGTGGAATCTGGATCTAAGATATCATCCGTAAAAAAAAAAAGATTTTTATAAAACAATAATTTCGGCTGAAGTTTGTTGTAAAATCACTAATTAATCGCGATGAATCGACGATTTTTTTGTTATTTAAAAAATCGATACTTAATTACCATTTAAGGTTGACCTTTTTTTAAGTATAGTGATTAATTGCCAAAAGTGACGCGACTTTGATCACATGATTTGTTCGATGTTATTTCTTAAACGATTCTATATTGATATATAAACGTCACAATGCGTTCATTGGTCACACGTTGCGATACGTACTTTGCATATAAGCAACTACCGATCGACACCTTCGGTCATGGATGAGTAAGCATTCAGCTTGTTCTGCAACCAAAAAATATTACATTCGTGTTTTTTTCTTAAAGGAAAGAAAAACGTAAACTGAGTAGGTATAAAAACGATATTCAATTAGCAATTCGCATACCATTTAGTTATATCGTCGAACAACACAAATAGGTAAGTCATTAGCTTGTTCACGTTCCTTCACTACGAGGTAATACGAGACATTCTTATCTTAAATTTAAAAGATTCTCTTCCTATATGTAGTCATTTCTTTGATAGAAAGTTATATCAATAATTAAGCAGAATAAAAATAAGGTAGAAATCACAATGAAATTAATTTACGGTAAAGTTGACAAAAAAGTAATAAAATTTAATTGAATTAATAGATTAAAAATCATCTTAGAACAGAAATTATTTGTTGGCGTTTCAGTATAGAATTGACCTTCTTTAGAGCTTCACTTTTTTAAATTCAGGCTTCTTATCATCTGTTTCTAGAGCTACGTCACTAAGCCATGCACACAACTGTAAAACGACAGCAAGAGATTCTGCCAACACCACTACTATCCAACGGCGGGGTATTTACAGTCTCATCTTCAATTGTAATCTCTGCTCCTGCCTCATGCATCTTCTTCGCTATTGTCGATACCGCAAACTGGCACAAATGGAACACTTTCGTACCTTTTGTTGAGATTATCAAGCGGCCGTCAGATCAGAGTGATAATGCCGAGAAACTGGAGGTAGACACCGACATGCGCTTCACAGTGTATATGAAGCCAGGTGGTTCCGCGACATCATCTCGCCAGCAAGTCACTGTGCTTGATTCCGAGAGAGGCAAGATATGTTGGAAGTTTACTGGTGCCCCTTCTTGCTTGTTGCGAGCTGAACGAGTACACGAGATGAAAGACAAAGAGGATGGCACATGCGAGTATCATACATGGGAAACATTTGCTGGGCCAATCGCTTATATCATACGATCAATCTACGGCGATAAATTGCAGGAGCGGTTTATGGATTGGGCAAGCGATCTGAAGCATTACGTCGAGAAAGTATGACTTAAATCATGCGAAAAGCATGCTTTTTGAAACGTCGACATATATCAATATGTATATCTCTGCTTACTGAATAATATAAAGAGAACAAAACGGATCAGCGTCCAAAGACTGCTTCAGATTCACAGAATTTGCATCGTATTAGGTATTCAAAACTCTAAACGTCAAAATCAATCAAGTACAAGTCCTTATTACTATAACTGATTTTCTAATAAAGGTTACTACAGTTCATATACATTGTTATCTATAAAGAAAATCGCAGAATGGTATTTTGTGTGTTTTGAATGATGAATTAAAAGTGAACATTTCGACGATTGGCTAGACATTATTTTCTAAACGCACACTCAAAAAACGGATTAAACATTCTTCATCAGATTGACTTCTACAGAGAAATTCTCCCAACACGATATGTCTTTATGCCAGAAAAGTCTAAGAGAAGCAGATATTATCGAATGTCGAAAGCAATCTAGACTTGGTTTTTTTCCCTGGCAATGCTTTGGTTCACAAAGAAACCAACTTCGCAATCTTTATGAATATTTGTCACAGTTTTTGCAGCGTTTTTGGTATTGATCACTTTTTTTGAAACTCAAGTTTCAGAGAAAGAGAGATTACGATCAACAAAAAACAGTTAAGTCTCTGATTCGATATGTGTATCTGTTAATCTAAAAAGATTTGTTGCACAATATAAATATTTTGCTACATCTTGTAATGCTTTCTGTTCGGAAAAATGTAGCAAATCATATACACTCAATCAAAAAATGACTAACTAACCTGAAAATTTTTGTATTTGGCGCTCTAACACACATCGTTGTGTTCAACATCTAAGAAAAATTTACGTAATTGTACTAATAGCTTTGGATTTGGATTTTGGACTAAAGGTTCTAGACGTAGCCATATATTCCACATATGAATTTTATTTACGATGCCCATTTAGTGACCGATCAACCGCGCTCAGACTATCATCGTTGTTGCTGTCCATTGATAATATTTTTATCAATCATTTGCATTTGAAAACTATAAAAAGTGTTTGACAAATTTTCATTCGATGATATTAGGAAACTCTTGATATACCACCACTAGCATGTAAAGTTGATACACCATTCTGTTCAATAGCATGCTCATTAAATAATTTTAGATCTTGAACACTAATTGAATATATTGCATGTGCAATAGTCTCATTAAAGTTATTAGATAAGTGTGCACGACGGGATTCTGATGAACATCTATTAGAATGATTTCATTTTACTAATTGATAATTTTTCAATAATAATGATTCTTTAGATTCATTTTTAACAATTTTTGTTTTGTTTCGTGCAAATAATTATCGACACGAGAGAATCATTTGAATTGCTATGAGTGTTTTTGAAGTCTTTTATTAAATATGTCTATGAATCAGTATTTTATTCAGCATGAAGGCTGAGAGAACAGGGCTTCTTCGAAGACCAAATACGTCCATCGAGAGCTTATATATTTCTTGTCCCATATATAGTTTGTCTGCACTGTCATTCATAGGTGCGTGCTCTCCTGAAGCGCTGAATTGACCCTACAGAAGAGAAAATTTAGATAAAATACTACTTTAAATATTTCGATTTTGTTCGTGTTAGTAAAAAGATTTTCGCTAAATCAAATAAGTAACAATTCTTGATTTTATTTCATTTGAATTTAAGAGTCAGACTAAAACATACAAGTTAATTCTTAAAAGAAAATAAGAATGATTAACTCAATAAAAAATTCTTGGTTTAATATAGAACAACATACACAATATTTAATCATTAATAAGGATTTTTTTTATTTAAATAACTTCATGATTTTAATAATTATTATTTATCTATCTTTGTCATATCATAATTTGTTCAATAATAAACTAAACAATATAAATTCATAATCTCGGATGTGGGTGATGGTCCTAATTTTCTTGACACTCGCACCCTTTATTGTCTTTAAGTATCATTTAGTTTGATGAAAATGTGTTTCATCGTTTTTAATGGGTACAACGAAAGAAAATGGAAAGATTATGTGCACACATGTAAGAATAGTTTCTGATTAAAAATAAAGAGATCATCCAAGAAACATTTGTTTTTACCTTCTACGCTTATTAGTAAGAGGTATATATTTTGACTGGACGATGACAAACTGTATTGGAGAAGAAGGAGAGACAATGGACCATCGCACAATGATAACAGAGCGTCATCTATGGATACTAACAATTATGAAATAGTAGTTGCTGGTTGTGTCATATGCTGCCGTTGTTCCTTGCACTTCTGTATTTTCTGTTTTATTTGTCGTGCCTCTTGCCGTTGCGTTAGTGATGAGATTGTGTTATCCGAATTTGTACACTCATTTGTCTCAGACGGTTGTGCCATTGTATTTCTATTAGATGAGCATGATTTTCCATTTTGCGTATGATCCACAAAATTCCATTTTAGACCTGATATCACCAAAATGATAATAGCGAGACCAAAATGGACAATGAACAGTCCATATACTTGACTTAAGTGAAGTCCATCACCAACACCTTCATGACCGTCCTTCTTATCGCAATATTTCTCTTGAAAATATTCTTCTAACAGTCGATCAATTTCGCCCTCCTCTTTCAATTTCATAATATGATTATCCAAATCCTGCTTATATCGCCATAATTTTGGTACAGCAATTCCAAAATCTGTTTTGCCAAATGGAAATCCAACTACTTCTAGTTGGCAATATTGTTTTGTTTGCGTAAAATACTCGGCACTGGAACTATCAGCTATCGCAACATCAATATGATAATTTAACAATTTCGCATAACATTCTCTTTGATGTTTTAAACGATGATAATCCATCTGATTTCCATTCATAAGATGCTGCATAACGTATTCCTCGTGTTGTGAACGTTCAACAACACCAATACGATCACACGATAATTTGCCACACATTTTTAAGTCTTCTATACTTTGTATCCAAGGCTTCTTCTGTTTTTCAATAAAATATGTAGTCATACTGGACGTTAGAAGTGACACTAGATAAATGCTTGTCAACCAAAGAAGTATGGTTTGTCCTCGACCACCAAATGACTTCACTCGTAATTCACTTCCTGTTTGTGCCATAGCGCCGATTGTATGATAGAATGATTTCAGAAACGACCCCAGTATCGATTGATCACAGATATCAGATTTTTTCTTATCTGGTTGCCTCTTTCCCTCTACTGTCTCATATCCAAAAATTAGTAGAACTGACATACCCAACGTAATACCTATAACCAACCATACGTGGCCATCAAATGGTAAAACGAATGCGTGCCAAGAAGCGTACACTTTTCCACTTTTTCTAATTACCAATCGCATATAATTATCGTAGATTGATACACTAAAATCAATTTTGTTCGAACGACTTGGAGTCTGAGCTAGATCGGCCATAACAATTTCGTAGGTACCGTTTCGAACACATTCAACTAATTCATCGTAACTAATATCATCTGGAGCGACAATCAAATTACTGCTGAATCCTGCCCGTTGTTCAAGTAATGATATTAACCTGTAAAGGTAACCTGACTTGTCAGTTTTATTAGTGCTATTGTTGAACTCTTCCATATAAAAAGGAGGTGATATGGGAACAGTGATGTTTAATTGTACACCTAGAAAATAATTGGATAAGTATTGTTATAGTCGTTATCGTTATATATTGTCTAAAAGATATTCAAAGAAGCATTCAAGCACAACAAGAACGAGTATAAGAATCCTGCTAGAGTCAACATGTGATTAGCTATAAATATCACAGAAAACGCATGAAATTTTGCTAAAGTTCTGTTAAAACGTCATTTCTAGGTCCTTCTTCATGGCTTTTTTTTGTGTCTAATTTGGCACACAAGACGAACATTACATCATTCAATACGTAAGGGAGTCATAGTCAATTTGGTATTCACGAGTTTTTATCCAAGAAAGTTGTTGACTCACGTAAATACAGTGGACTTTGTACATAACAGAACCATAGACTGTAAGAATCAATAGTTGAAAAAATCGAGAAAATATGTACTTTTTGTTTTTACTTATGTCTCGTTCAACTGTGCTCGTCTTACCTTTCAGAGATGCATAATGGTTTTGTTTTGCGCCCGAATATGCTGGCCATCGGATTGGATTCAGTGTACTAATCCATTGAGTTGTACTATCACGAGTAAGGTTGCTTGTACTACCATTCAGCTTCAAGACTTCCTCAGCATATAATTCATTTGTGTTCGATTTTGAAGGTTGCAGATTGTCAATTATAAAATGTGAACCACTTCTAGTCAAACGATCAGTTGCATTCTCGAGGAATTGTACATATCCTGAAACGCCCAGAAAACTGATATTTTTAAGGATTTGATGAAGTTTATCTCGATTTGTTAGACGAGTAGTAAAACAGTGTTTCGTGTTCACTAATGAAAGACAATTATTGGAATTCCTCTGGCAAAATTCTTGGAAGCCTAAGATTAATAACCATGCAGAATCAAATGCATATAGTGCATAACCATCGATTTTTGTTTCATCACCAGGATACGACTGGTTATCATAGTTTTTCCAGATATCAATGGCATCTTTTAACAGTGTTGTATTAGTTGACACATTAAATATTTGCGGTGTGACAGGTCTGATCAGTAACATTCCAATTAATTGCTTATCTTTCAACTGCATTTTTGAATGAAGAGCTGTGAAAATCCATAGAAATGATGGCGCTAGAATATCTCCTGCTTCCAATGCTAATTGTATGATTTTTGTTGTTACATTTTCATCTGCCCAAACGATGACAATTCGTGATGGACTTTCTTCCAATTGACTTCGTAAATCATCTATATGATCTGTAGATAAATCATATTTTATTTTCTGTGATATCTTGATCTCATCAGTAAACGCTTTCTTTATCGCCTGCAGTCCACCTTCACCGTAATTATCGTCCTGATATATAATATTTGTTGAATTCCAATCATATTTCTGGAATAATTTCAATAATGCTTGTGCGGTTATAATATCAGACGGTATTGTACGATAGAATGTTTGATATGCATTACGATCTGATAGTTCTGGATCTGTAGTTGAATAGCCAATAACAGGAAAACCAGCACGATTACAGAGACGTGCAAGTAGTCTTGCTTCACTTGAATATGCTGGTCCAACGATGCCTATAATTTTGTTTTCAGTTATAGCCATACAAGTGCGATACAATGTTTCGATTACATCACGTCCATTTGAATGTTCCAGACGATAGGCGAATTGTTTTCCATTGACTGTCATGTTATACTGTTGAGATAAGAGTATAGCTGTCATGAACATTGCATGTTCTTGTGGTGTTGAATCATATGTTAACATTGAATTAAGCTGTTGATCGAATAACCCTAAAATATAGCTGTATGAGCTATTGGTGAATGAAGGCCACGTTGTTCTTAAACTATCGTTGTTCTTCTTCACTTGCTGTTTGAATGCTTCATCGTCTAATTTTACAACTCTCGCTACAGAAGGCATGGAAAATATCAAACCAATACAAATAACTATTTTTGCCACATGCTTAGTATGTACCATTTTTGATTTTGCTGACTGATTGCCTTTCATAAGCTTTTTTTTCTAGTGCTTTTATACATTCTGACAAGCATGACAATTCTAATTGAGAATTTTATGAGTTTACTTGTAATAAAAACGACAAAAATAAAGTCTAGTGAACAGCGACGATGCAGCATCGAGATAACCCAATGAGTTTGTTTCCAAACTAAATATTGTATTTAGCAAATCGTTATCAGTGACAATTTTTTATGATTATTATGGTGCTCTATATTATGAGATGTGATATTTAAATCTACAGACGTCATAAACTCACAAGAAGATAGAAAATAACATACTTTTTTGCTTACTTTTCGATACAAGTTGGTGATTTTTCGAAAAACAAGGATTGAAAAGTAAAAAAAAAATTATTTAAATTGTTATTTTGGCAATTTTTATCAAGAAGGTTTCATTACATTTCTATTCTTTATTGTAAGAAGAGAATGTTATTCTTTTTTGAATGAAACATTCTATTAAGCAGAATTTTATCTTTTGGTAGCATAATTCTTCAAATTCAATACTCAAATGTATTTGCTAATATGAGACGGTTATAAAGTATAATGAAGTTTCCGAAAATTTTATACGCAGCCCCTAAAATTCAATTAGTCTGGAGTTTAAAAGAAGTTCGGATAAAACTATTTCATTTGAGTCTGCTACAGACTCAAGTTGCAAAAATGTAACCGATGACTTTGGCAAGTTATCGATTGGTACTTTCGGCATAGAACATGAACGAAAATCTTTACCATTGAGTGAAACAATATGGGAACTATCCAACTGTTTCATTTGCTCTCCTTGGAACTATCTATAACAAACCTAATAACATCAACGGATGATGCGTCTATAAACAAATTTTTTTCTACATGCAGTTTACTTTGATTTCACATTTTAAGCATTGGAAGAGTTTTATATATATCCAATGACCTACGAGCTAACACAAAATCCCATGTTCTTGATTGTATCATGTATTGATCACATTGGTTAGTATGAAGCTGTTGCATGCTACAGAACTCTGTCTTCGAACATTTTTTTTGTTTTTGTAAACAACAAAACATGTTAGTCCTGTCTTTAAACGAAAAAAATCAGATGAAACTTCTTGTCAGATTCATGAATCAGTCTTAAAATGATCGAATTTGAATTAAACATCGTCTCGAGTGAACCGAAAGTTTCAACATAAAACGTGAGCACGAATAGATGAAAGTGTGATCAAGTATGTGGCTGTGACTAACGAAATCATTTACAAAAGTAAATTCAAAATGAATTTCATACTCTTATATAAACATTTTTCGTTTCTCTTTAGTTGAAATAGAACTCTATTTTCCAATATACATTTACATTTATTTCAAAGAGATTTTTAGTTTTTCATCCAAAAAAAAAAACATTGAATTCTATTGGTTCAAACCTTCTTAGATACACTACATATTGAATTTAATTGTATGTATGCATGTATGTATATGCACGGTCACTTGACCCATAGTAACAATGGTGTAAATGTATTTCTGTTTGTGCTTCAGTTGACCAATAGTATCAATATTGTTTGTGAGTTGCTTCTTATTTTCATTTTGTTATGTTCATTATTCATTTAAAAAATGTTTTCTATTACAAACAATATATATTTTATCTCTTATGATTTTTATTTTAATTAAAATTTTGTCGAGATTTGTTCGTTTTTTTTTTTGGGGGGTAACATCCTCAATATAAAGTAGGTTTATTCGGTGAGATAATATTATTTTGAAATTGAATATTTTATGTCAAGAAAACAGCTCCTTATGTGTCTTCGATGTTTTCTAGATATTACTATAAGAAATGGTTAAATACTTCATTCATACAGAAAAAAGAAAATTATAATAGTTTACATTTTCTTTTACACTTGTTACTGTTAATTATATAAAAAATTATTTCGATATCAAATGGAATTCATTTAAAATAAATGACCTTAATCATTTTCATAGTACATTATTTTTAAAAAAATCAATTGTTTGCATTAAATTTTTTTGAGAAAATTCCTTGCAGAGAAATTATCATAATTAAGTCGAGAGCTCGGCAAATTCGAAATTCCTATTTCTCAATTCTTGGATACTACTGATTTAAAAGGTATTTTTATGTAGTTTAAGGATGTAAGTGTCAGTCTTTATACAATCCACATCCTATCCATAAAAGTCTCATGCCATAATTCAGATTTACAGTATTGTAATAACTGTAGCTCAAGCTGAGAACTCTACATAGTTTTGAAGAATCCCATAACTTTTGTAAGTTTCTTTTTTGTTTGCAACAAATGGTATTCTATGTATTGAAATGTATTACAGCATTTCATAGTTTCAATATGTCTCAATTATCGAACTTTCTTTAATAGGTTGAATTTGTGACATAGTTTAACTGTGAACAATGAATATAAAGGCAGAAAAAAAAAATACGAAATGTATTGTAATGTGTTCATATAAACATTTTTGACCTTATTAATAATGATGTTATCTCGTTATTCTATTTAAGAAATTAAATAATATTTGAATGCAAGCCGAAACTGATGTTAGTAATATGGCTACGATCTCTATTCCAACTTTGCCTCTTGCCAAACCATCGTTATTAACTGACGATCCTGAAATACGACGGACACGAAGAATTATTATGATCATATGCAGTATTTGTATTGTGAGTTTTTATTTTCATTTATATTTAACAACAATTATAAAAAGATTTCCTTTTTTCTCATTTATTTAAAACTAATAGAAATCAGATTTTATATATATTGCTTCAAAACAATAAAGCCTTGATTTATCTATATGTATATATGAAATTGAATTAGTCATATATTAAACTTTGTAATGTTTCGACGATTTCAAAAATAACTGCGACCTATTTGAGAAATGTTTCTTTTTTGTGTGCGTTTAATCATTCAATAGCAAAGATCATTAGTACTAAATTTTCCTACTTAGATCTATTGGATCATCTAGAATAAATTATTCAATGGAGCTATACAGTGGATGTTGCCTTATAACAACATAAACCACTGAGTGTAGAAATACTTTTCATCTCAAAATACACACATAGTTACTATTTGACTTCTAGGAGACGACTAGAAAAGATTAAATTTTCAAACATTACTGAAATGTTTGTTTTTACTCATATTTTCTAATTGAGAACATTCAGAACTAACAACTAAACTTCAATATTTTGATATTTTTTTTTTTAATAAAAATTATTTATTTTCAATTCTTATTATATGTTTTTATTTTTTTAGGTTATTTGCGCAATTGATGCCATTCATACGTATTTTACAGACACTATCGGATATTGTTTAAAACCGAATGGACGTTCTGAAGTCATTGGTCAATATTTTATTGCTATTCTTTTATATAGCTTTGCATTATTCGTTGCTTATAGATATTCTGAAACAGGTTTACGAGTGGTAAGATTTATATCTTGTTTCTTGTGTTTTTTTTTATATGTATAAAATTCTTATCAAAAGACTTTAAAACAGATTGTGTTGAAAATTTTTCAATTAAATCAATTATTCGAATGAATGAAGTTCTTTGAAAAATTTGTTTTTTTTTTGACTTTAATTAGAAATTAATTGTTTTCAACACATCAGATTTTCTGAATCGAATAAAAGAAGTCGTAAACTTTTACAAAGAATTTTATTTGATATTTTTTATTAAACAATTGCTAGTTTTTGAAAGTTGAGTAAGAAAAATGCAATTACGATATTAAAATGAAAATCTTTTATAAATTTATAATGAAATAATGATTAATGTTTCATTGAGACTTGGAAAAAAAAATCAAAGATCAATTAATTTTTCTTATATCATATTGTCATTAAAATTAAAATTTTTTTATATTTTTGTTTTTTTTTAAAACTAAACGATGTTTGATGATTTTTATTCTTTTGAGATGTTAATTAGACAAGTTTCTATTTTGTTGAAATGATTCGTGTTAAAATTTATATTTTTATATTTCAATTTTAGATTGTTTGGCTTGGCATTTTTGAATTATTTGTCGTAGCAATTGTAATTATATATCTTATAAATTCTGTTACTTCAAGTTCAGGTTCCAATACTTTCTCTAACGAATATTCAACTTCTAAACCAAAAGACAATAATCATTATATAAATAAACCGATCGATTCTATTATTTGTATTTTAACTTATATAGGTGGTTTTATTCTTAAGGTAAATATTTTATTTTATATATTTCTATTGATATTATATGTGTTTTCTTTTTAGTTAATCATTGTTAGATTAGCCTTTAAATTAGCTAGACTTATTGATGTTAAGAAAACTCTTGTCATTAAACAAATTCAACCTTTTGTTTATACAATAGTTTAACATGTTTTAATTTTCATGTAGTGTTTCATATTATATTTGTTTATTATTTAGAAATTAAAATCTTTTCTTTTATTATAAATGAATTAATTCATAAACGAATTGTATATTACGTAATAAAAATAAATCTCATGTACTTATTTAATAGAAGAAATAACATAAAAAAAAAAACTGTTCTTATCACTTTTTATTGACATATGAAATTTTTTACAATATTATTTTATTATATTGTATAAACATTAGTTTTAAGAATTTTGTATAATATTTCTATTGATCTCAATGATTGATAAAAAGAAATTCGACAATTTTATAAGTCTAATGATGTCTTTCTTTCGATGATAAAATAAGTTTTTTATTATATCAGAGAGATCATCATATGAAGAATAATTAAAAAAAGAAATGAAAAGAAAGTCATTATTATTAAAGATAAATTCAAATTATTCTACATGCAAAAATCGA